ATGGCTGGCTGACGACGGCTGATAGACTAGAAATAGCCAAGTATGTCTTTGGTGTTTTTGTCGGTATTGCTTCTTGCATTTAGGGACATAGAGAAGAATAGTTAAGAGTAGTGCTCACACTGGGACATTCGACGTACTTCCACTCACTTCATGGGCCTATTTGGTCCCAAGTGCCTCCACGAAAACCTGTGGTAAATCTCCGCAGACACGACCACATCGCCACACATTCTCCCATCAACACATGTGTCACGAATACATCCCTCTCAAATCCCACATCCCTGGCACTTCTCAAGTAAGTGCCAAGTGTGTCTTTCGGCTCCTCTCTCCGTGTGCCCCTGTCGCAGCATGTGAAATCAGTGTTCTAGCCTCCCTTTGTAAAATCCTGGGGTATGCGCTTGGGCAGGGGGGGGGGAGGGGGGCAAGTCGTCCACGCGGCCCGTGCAGACGGGCCTGTCATGACAGGCTTTCAATAAAAAGAAGCAACAAGAACACAGAAGGGGATATATGAAAGCCTTACGTGTAAGCCGTGCGCGTGGCGCCACAAGACTGCGTCGATTCCCCGTACCCGACACCTTACCGGCTCGGATAGTGGCTGTGGTCTGGAATGAGAATAGTGAGTGAGGTCGACGCCTCAGCGCATTTTCCTCCTCACTATAAACAATCTGACCTGCCTGAAGCTATCTCAGTGAGTTAAAAGCCGTGGCTTGAAAGGTTGCTAACTTACAGGAATAACTCGGACCTCGCAGTTGGCTGAAAGTGTTGAATGTTATTTTCAAAATAAAGCATTCCTCTCTCTCTCTCTCAAATGTGTATTCGTGTGGATTGCGGACTGAGAGTCAGACTGCAATGTCTCTCTCTCTTAATGTGGCTTCTATGAAACGCTCACTCAGTGAGATCAGATTCGGATGTGGCAGCATGCCCGGCGGCGGCTCTGGTCACGCCTGCAACCTGCGCTCTGTCCCACATCTGATCTTCTTGACACCAGGTCCAGGTGGAAAAGAAAGCGAGAGTGCGGTAGATGCCTCGAAGGCCTACTATGACTATATACTAATTCACGAAAGTCACCCTCATGGTAGGCGTCGTCGAAATCGACAGTCAAGCTGTCACCAGACCTGTGGTGGTTGGTGTGGTTTGAGGTGAAGTTTGACAAAAGGAGTTCTGTCGAATCGAGAGGCAGTTTTTATGAATGTAGCCTTACTGTCAAGGTAAACGTCTAAAGTTCACGCAGAGACGACATTTTCGGCAGAAAATCTAGTTTATATAAGTCCACAGTTCGGCGGCATTTAATGCTTTCAAGTGACTGGATTAACTGAGCGTAAAGAATGTGCCCTTTGGTAGAGGGGCGCTAACCGATCGTTTCTACGGAACTCATTTGTCACATTGTGCTTTAGGGTCCCCTCTCGAGCCCAACCAGCAGCCGCACAGCGGCGCATGATACTGGCAGGTCAGCATTACCCACAAAGGTATCTGAAGTGGCTACTTCTGGCTTATCAGACGTCGTAAGCCAGTCATACCCAACCCCGAATCGTGGAACACCTGGGACTCGATCCAGCGACCTGTCGGTTAGATATCCAACGCCTTTAACTATTGAGGCACGAGAACGTGGTTCTGTCGGTCACGATCGGGAATATATGTAATGGTTGGGGGGCGCTCTCCGATCGTTTACATGAAACTCTAGGAGACACAAACAGGCCCTTTGGAATTACTGGAAAAAACAAGTACAGGTCAGTAGAACTATCCGCCGACAAGAGCGAATTTCCGGATTAACTTTATGTATGCAAACGAGTGACGATCTGTTTCAATGGTTGCCAGCGCGTCTAACCCCTCACGCCGTCTTTCAGATGGCCTAACACCCCCTGTCTATCGACTGCTGGCGCCGCGCGGCCAGGTATAGCGACGGTTTGACGCCTATCAGTGCTCTGTCTTTTCTCCATTGGTTGTGTGCGGACAAAGCCCAAGTGCATCCATGCACAACGCATCGGGTCTAAGAAACTCAACGGCTGACAATCGGATCGTGAGAACAGTTGCCGCCACTGCCTGCCGAATCGCCTGTAGTGTTTGATCAGCCTCTTCTTTCCCCCTGATTTTTGAATTGGCAAATCACCTTGTCGAGGCATTATCTCACGACTGCTGAGGTGAAACGTCCTACAAGGCCGATTTCGGGGAGGACAGTTTTTCAGAATGGTTAGTAAGCCACAAACGGATGACTGGAATCCTTGTCACGATTTCAACGTCATCCTTCTTGATCCGTAGCTTATACTTTATCTTCAGGATTTTACCGGAGTTCTCATTGGCAAGATCCTTTTCTCGAAGAATGAGTGACATGTCCGGGGTCCTTAACCAAGTTCCACTTGTCCCTGAGGTCTTGCTAACAAGGGGTGTGACGAGTGAGTTTGGCTTGTTTGAGTTCTTTTACATGCCTTTTGGTCTCCGCAATTCACCGCAGACTTTTTAACTCTTCGTTGATCGTGACCTGCGCGGTCTCTCTCTTATTTATATTTATATGGAGGATTTTTAATCACAAGCCGGGATGCCCAGAAACATCACCAGCACCTTACCCTTATTTTAGACTGTGTGGCATAGATCTGCATTCGGCTAACTTTGTCTTGGGAAGTAATTCCTGTCGACTGCCTATAAGGCCGTTCGTGACTTTCCGCCCCAGAGCGTCGGCTGTAACGCCTTGTGGGTATGGGGAACGTCCACCGCCGGTTCCTCTCGAATAGTACGTACAGCGCTCTAACGCTCAGAAGTCCCCTATGGGATCCCAATGGTTCGTTCGTGGTTTCCGCAGATGTCCTCGCTGCCTGTGAAGGTTTCCCTGGCCGACGCCACCCTCCTGTCTTGCTTTCATGCTGACGCATCAACCGCCCTCGTGGAAGATGCTTACAATGTGGCTTTAGCGCTGTCTTCCAACATAACCCTGCAGATCTTAACCTCACTCTATCTTTCTTCTGAGGGAAACTATCCAAGACCGAAACTCGCTGCAACACATTCTGACGTGCTGTTTTTCTTGCGATAGAGCGCATTCGGCAGTTCATCGAAGCCCTAGACTCCACAATCTTCACCGACTAAAATTCACACACACATTCGTTTTGCATCCTCTGATCGATAAACTGAACCCTCAGAAGATTCACCACCTGAACTATGTATATCAGTTCACCACAGGTGTCGGCCATGTCGACAGATCAGGGGGTGAGGTAGCTGACTCATTTTCCAGGCTCACCATCACCCATTTTCAACCTTCTTCCGGGATTGGCTTGACTGACATCATGTTTGATCCCTCGTGAAACGGGCATCTCTGCACTCCAGCTTTACGAATTCCTTCTGATTACTGGCGATGGTGCCACCATCCGCCACTTCTCCACTTCCTCTTACCGTCCCCTTGCACCGCCAAAGCTTTGTCGCAAGGCCTTTTCTTCTCTACACAACCTATCTCACCGTGGGAGTGGATTCATTGACAAGCTGGCCTCTGACCGTTTCGTCTAGCCTGGGAAACACAAGGTCCGGCGACACAACAGGGTCCCCATCTGCACCTTTTCCCAGTCCGCCACAAAGTTCAGCCATGCCCGCCTAAACTACCTTATCTCCTGCGTGAAACAATGCGTCCGCTGTCAGGGAGATGCCCGTCTGCCCGATGCCGAGGCTCCAACGGTAGTCAAGCTGTTTCTCAGTCGTTGGATTAGAAATTTTGGTGTCCCATCTACCACCACGACTGACGGCGGAGCGTAGTTCGAATCTCATTTTCTTCAGTTTCTCATCTCCTTTCTAGACTTTACGCGGATCCGGACGAAGGCTTGCCACCCGGCTGCCAACGGGATGGTCGAACGGCCTCGCTGCCAGCTGAAGACCTTCCTACACGTCATAGAAGGTCGGGGAATTGGATTGGCCGCCCTGTCCTGGTTCTGTTGACATCCGCTCGGCACCGGAGCCGGACATTGCCTGTTCCACTGACAAACTTGTATTTCGTGCGACCGCACGACTTTCCGGCGCGTTACTCCACCACACTCTCAGGGTTGGGGACGAAGATAGAACCAACCTCCTGCAGCGTCTCCGCTAGTCTGTGCGAACACTCTTCGCAGCTTCATGGTGGTCAACCGTCATCGCGTCCTCTATTGAAAGAAATTTTTTGATACGTTGCCACGTTCTCCTCCCCCCGCTGCGGTCAAGTCCGCCGGCTTCTGGAGCGACCCCACGACGGGTTTTTCGGGCTTTCTCTCGGTATGTGAAGACGTTCCGCATACAGTACGATACTTCGTGTCTCCGTGCCTGCTGCCTCCAACTGCAATTTCATCCTCCCCACACCAAGTCTTTCATTGGTGCTCGCATCCAAGTCTCTCCTCCTGTTCTTCCCACTTTATTGTCGCCCGCGGTGGACGCCGAGTTCACTTTCCCGACCGTCTGATTAGTCACGTATTTCAGACATGGGCATCGCCTCCCCCTTCCACCGACGTCGTTTCACATGACCTTTGCGTTTAAAGCGAGAGGGACACGGTTGGGACTATATCCTTGAAGTTCTTTTCTGTTCCGATCCGCACTCGAATGACCTAAAATCAGGTTACGAGCTGCTGGAGATCTGGTGTGCGATTGTGGTACCTTTGCCACATCTTTGACTTACTCTTATGTTTGAAGCTTGGGCGGGTCTACTGATCATTAGGCTTGGCAGGGAACAATGACTGGACGCAGGCCTCAACTTGGGCGAAGGTTTTCTAACTTTGGACCCCCCAAACAGGCAAGTGTGGTTCAGGCCCTTGGTCATATCCTAAATCTTCAAAGAACGAGTCGATTTCAACTGTCTCCACGTTTTTATCGCGCTATCCCCCCCCCTCCTCTCTTATGGGACAAAATACTTGTTTCGGACTAGTGTATGCTTTACGAAGTGGATGAAATCATCGTGAAATACCCTTGCGAGATCCACCCGACGCTAAATGTTTGAATCAGACTGTTGAACGGGATTTCACTTGCAGCTTCTCCGTTGACAGCTTGCCGGATAAATGCGTTCCCACCAAATTTTTCACCACAGTAGTAATCAAACACCACACTTACCGGCACACGCATATACTCCTCTTGACTACACAAACGGAGGCAGTGGCTATACGGCTAGCCAATCCAGTGCTAGGTTGTCAGAAGAAGTTGACACAGGGGCTCTATCTTCCGTGTCCAACGCCGACCCCAGATGATGACTGCACGTCGCCCCAACCTCCTGATGACAGTGGTGTGAGCTCGGTGTACCCGACTTACAATCATCATTCACAGCCTATGTCACCCCTCCCCCTCGCTCCTTGACCCAATGACCATAACACGCCGACCACGCCATAACACGGCTCGCTATGCGGGTGGCGTGGGAACGATGAGTGTTAATAGCCCCATGAATCCCTTATAAGCCCTGTGAAGTTCGTATATTTTCAGCTTCTATGCAACAGTTTTGGCCTGACGACGAGTTACCGAAAGCAAATGTTTGCCAAATTGACTTTTTAAACGGAGAATAAACTAGCAAGCGTAAGTTCTGAACCGTCGGTCTTTAAAAAAACCAGTGTCCACCAGCAGAGTGTATTCACAGAAATTTCTGGCAAGTAGTCATTCATTACAAAGAGCATATAAGTTCAAGGTATTTATAAAGCAAACGTTCCCTCCCCCCGCAGCCAGCGTAGAAACACTCCGAGCACCTGCAGGCGTATCTTCTTCCGCATGATTTATGTAGGATCGCCTTGTCGTAAATCAACATGCGGGGTGATGGTTGGTTGGAGAAGGTAAAATGAGAAAGATCGACATTAGCTTGGTGATTGGAGGGCTAGGTTGAATACATGACGACGAAATAGATTGCATATCAACTGCCTGCACTGAAGGTTAGCTCTGACGATCAGAGGGAATCAAACGCGTAAGATTAACTTGGGATGAAAAAAGAGAGGGAGATGTAGTACCGGAAATTAAAACTTACGTCTGCCTTTCAAACGGAAACCGAAACCTAAAGTAAAAAAAATTGATTCTAAACAGCTGGAACACGGGCCACGCAGAATGTATAACGATTTGTTTATTCATGCATCAGAGAAATAATTATTCTAGGCGAGACGATTTGTCCATAACTGGCCAAACCGAAGAATTACATCGGACTACCGTGTGCTGCGATTTAAAACAAAGTCGAAATATCAGCGTGGTCGACATATGCAAGTGAGAGGAGTACTTGATTGGTCTACCTTCATCCACACATTTCCTAGTTGCGTTCTCACATTCCTCCAGCGTGAGGAAATTGTTTGCATTTCCGCCGCATCCGCTGTATAAGTATGTCTTGCAAGTGCCCAGCTGAGAATCATATCCGTACCTCTCGTCGTAATCTTCGCAATTTCCCATCTCGAAGGTCATGTGACAAATGTCCGAACCAACTGAAATAGAACAGTTTAAGTCAGATAAGGAGACAATGGCATAAAAGGCCACGAAAGTGATGTTAAGAGATTCATGTATGCGACTACAGTGGATCGGGGGAAATATCTCATTTGAGCGATCTGCGTCACGAGAAGGCATATGGCTTGGCAAGGTAATCGATCGATCCTCACATTAGTTCGGAAGGAAGTGCGCGGTCAACGGCAACTGGGTGCGCATGTGCTTTGCTCCGCTGCAATCGCTAAACGGTCTCAACCGTTAATTTGCTATCAAGTGACTGGAAGAAAGGATATTTTTGTGCATGATTTCTGTAAAATGTACTTGTATTTTTAAGGACTTCGAAAATCGGTGAGAAAAGTCCTACTACTTATGCAGTCACTTTTATGGAGCATGGCTCATGCAAGGCGGTCGATTAGGAGCTGGTTCAAAAGCCGGAGTCCTGACATGACTAAGCTAGCTAGTATTCTGTGACAAAATAACCAACATGTCAACCCTACTTAAGTAGTCTTTTCGAATAGAGAATTCATCTCAGAATTTCGGTTTAAAATTAATGAGATGGAACACCTTCCGATGGGGGAACTTATAGATTCAATCAAACCACCAGACTGAAGATGCGGAGATCCAACTTAGGCATTTGGCCGGCGGGCATGAATATTTTGGTTAGAGGGAATCTGTACGTTAATTTTCTAACAAGTTCGTGATAGTGCGGTCGTTAGAGGAGTCTGAAAAGCAAGACAGCAGAGCTAGTGCTAGCAGTGGAGCCAATTTTTTTAGAAGTTGCGGTGTTTAAAGGGAAGGAAAAATGCCCGTGCCGATGGCTTCATTTGTCAAAGTAACCTAGGTGAGCATGTGCTCTCAAATTACGGAGGAACCAGTCGAAAACCTACAGCGGGTGGGCCAACTCATGAAATGTCAAACGAAATTCCAAAATGCGTTTTCGTTTCGAAAATATTAGCTTGGTAGGGTTGTAGAACAAGTCAGCCTACAGCATAATTCTAAAATATTTCAGTTACCTTAGGATGCCGGCTTTCGAATGAATATCCTTCCGGCTGCATGCAGAAATTACACTCTATAAAAATGGCTTCTTGGGTAGCATAGATTTTTCTCACTGATTTTCGATTTCATAGAAAACATGCAGAAAAATATTCATTCATTTTCTCATTCGGTAGAAAATTGTGTCTTCTTCCAGTTTTCTACTCGAAGAAAAAGTATTATTCGGTTTTGAAGGAGTTTCTAACTGCAAGGCTATTTAGTAGCGTGAAAGGTTAGATCGCAGTTGGTAGCCAGGAATGAGGAAGCGGATGGCGACCTTAACCCTGATCCTAACCTTAAACCTAACCCTAACCTCAACATTAAACGTTAACCGTTAACCCTAACGGCAAACCTTACCCTGACCCTAACCGAAATCGTAAACGTAGCCGTAGCCCTTAGACATAACCGTAACTGAAAAACCTAACCGTAATACTGAAACCTAAGCATACGCTCAAACCCTAACCGTAACCTGAACACCTAAGCCTAAATACATAACCCTAACCCGAAAATCGAAAACCATTAACCCGTAACTTAATCCTTACCTCAAAATTAAAAGGGAAGCAAAATGGGTCAGATGTGATTATGGGATCCCACAAAATAGCTCCAGTAAGCAAATCCCCAAGCCACCTGTAATACAGGGCCTGGAAACCAACTGCGATCTAGCCGCGTGAAATGGCTGTTTATAAAACGTCATGTCTTTGCATTTGCCAATGTGGCTTGTAAAGTTAGCAATATGGATCAAATCTAATGCTCAAATTTATGAACCCCATATGGTCTCCCTTTAATACCGTAATGAAATGTATGGTTTTCCGTAGGCGGAAAATATACGACTTGTAGTTTGGAAACCGTGAATCAGAGTGTTGTGGTAGAGCGAGTTCAAAATTATTCGGGAATTGGAAAACTTTTTTAAAACCGAATTATACCCCTCCTTCGAGCATAAAATTAGAAGAAGACGTAATAATCTACCGAATGAGCAACGAATGATGCCGGCTTTTGAATGAGCTTCCTTCCGGCTGCATGCAAATCTAAACTCTGTAAAAATAACTACTTATGTAGTATGAGTAGTTCTCATTGATTTTCGATGCCCCTAAAGGTCCACCTTTATTTCATGAAAAACATTGATGAAAACATTCATTCGTTGCGCATTCGGTAGATTATTACGTCTTCTTCTAATTTTATGCTCGAAGAAGGGGCATAATTCAGTTTTAAAAAAGTTTTCCAATTCCCGAATAATTTCGAACCCGCTCTACCATCACACTTTGATTCACGGTTTCCAAATTACAAGTCGCATATTTTCCGCGTACGAAAAACCACACATTTCTCTACGGTAATAAAGGGGAACCATATAGGGTTCATAAAATTAAGCCATGGATTTGATCCATATTGCTAACTTTACAAGCCACATTGGTAAAGGTAGAGATATGACGATTTATGAACAGCCATTTCACGGTATTTAAAAGTCCCACAATTAGAAACTTTTTTAAAACTGAATTATGTCCCTCCTTTGAGTCTAAAATTAAAAGAAGATGTAATTTCCATTGAATAAATGAAAGAATTAATATTTGTATGCAGGTTTTCCATAATATGCAATTGAATTTTTAAGGGCATCAAAAATCAATGAGAAAAATTCGTGCTACGTAGGTGGTCATATTTACAGAGTATAGTTTTTGCATGTAGCCGGAAGGAAGGTATTTCGAAAGCCGGCATCCTAGAATAACTGAATTATTAAATAATTATACTGCAGACTGATAAGTTTTACAAACCAACCTAATTAAACTTTTGGAAACTAAAACGCATTTCGGAATTTCAGTTGACATTTTATGAGTTAGCCCACTTAATGTAAAGTGGACAGAGTACTGGAAACTGGCGTTGAATACCGCATGTAACGCCTCAACCAACAAGAAATGAGGTAAATACAAATGTACACCTATTGGTCTACCTCATCAATCAAGACGCTGAAATGATTTATGATTACTTGAGCGGAGCCGTAAAATTAATTTTCATGCAGCACAATCCCTAACTATTTCAGTTGGATTTTGAGAGCACTTTTGACGGCCGTCTGGGGATTGACACTCGGTAAAAAATGACTACTTATGCAGTACTAATTTGTCGGCAATATGATTCTGCTATACCATGCCTCGCTGTGCGGCTGCTGGTTGGACTCGAGAGAGAGAGAGTCCAAAAGGCAAAACGGAACGAGTGAGTTCCGTAAGAACGATCGGTAAGCGCTCCCTACCATGCTATTAATGTTCCAAATTGATTTGTCATGTCCTTATTAAGTGGAATATATTTTGCAAAAACATACCAAAATACTATTCCCTGTACTCATTCGTATTTGAAGAAAAGATATCTTTCAATTTTAAAGAGTCTGTGAATACCAGATTTTCAAAAATCTAAAGCATCGATTCGTACAGTATCGTATCAGTCCTTTATCAGCGCTGTCTATGAAATATATAGCATAGTCCGTATCCAAGTCAAAAATTAACGAGTCCTCTGTGGCGTCTTATTAATAACTTGGCGAAATCTTTTATTTTTTACACGGAAATTACAGAGCATGTAGTCGGGAAACCCTAGACGCAAGTGCAGCCGCTGGTCGGGTTAAAAATTATCCGGGCATTGGAAGTTTCTAAAACAAACGGATGCCTTTTCTTCAAGTATAAAATTTGAGGATGTTATTTGCTACAGAACTAGTACAAGGAGGAGTATTTTTATGCGTGTATTCTATAAAACATAAGTAAATTTATAGGGACATCGGAAACCAAAAGAAAATATTTACACTACTTACTTAGCCCTTTTTCACCAAGTGTGACGCTGCGGGCGGTCTGAAAGAATCTTACTCAAAAGCCGGTAGCCTGTCATGATTGAAATATCTTTGGACTACCCTGTAAAATAATCAACACTAGGACTCTGCCTAAGCAATACTTTCTGATTGGAAACGCACTCTACAATTCCTGATGTCACTTCATGAAATATGTTAGCCACTGTACAGTAATGAAGCGTTGCCTCAGACTACTGATAGAAGTTATTTTGATATGCATGTCTTAAGATAATACTGCCTAGATGCTGAAGTCAAAGAAGCCTCACATCAAGGTTCTGCGATGAACATGCAGGCATTTGTGCCGTCGTTTAGAACACGCAAATTTCCCTTGACTTGTTTTACACATTTAAAAACGTCCAAGTTCAGTATGTAGACAAGTCGACAGGAAAATTCATTTATCCCACTTATTCGTCCAATAAGAGGAGAGGAGCAGACCGATACACGCTACTTGCACGGACTTCTATTCCTACAGATAAGCCTGTACGGCAGAATGGTCTGTTCGAAAGTAATAAAGGTACACCTCACACCGCGATTATCAAGATTCGGTTGCCCGTCCTCCACCAGTCTCTACCTGGTTGACGGTGGCTATGGCAATGACCTAGAGTTGACCTTCAATGGCGCCTCTCACGAGGATGTCGCTATCCGATTTGTTTCTCGCCCAGAGGACTCTCTCAATCGGGCGGCCATATGCCAGACTCCCGCACGAAATAACAGCTTGACCGGTGGTGTACGCATCAAGATGTGAAATACTTGCTTGACTTACGTTCATCTGGGCAGGTCATGGCTGCCCTTTCGCAATCTGCTTCCTTCTCAAAATTGTTTGCATTTCCACCGCAACCGCCGTAGTAGAAATCTGTGCATTTGCCAGTCTCGCTGTCGTATCCGTATCGTTTGATGAGATCTGAGCAAGGCCCCTCTTCGATTGGAATATTGCATATGTCCTGTGGAGCTAGAATGTGGTGAGTAAGCCCACGCATAGTTAGGCAATTGATACAAATAGAGCAAGACTGGGTGAGTTTAAATGTCCAGGTAGTATTTGCGGGAGAATCGCCACTATCGAAAACAACACAAAGGCTTCTTGTTCGCGACCTTGAAACATGCTTGGCATGATAGCAGGCACTCTTATATTAGACAAATTAACACAGGCTGTATGGGTTTAAATTGCCAACCTGGAAGGGTTTCCGTTGTGTGAACTTCGATTGGGCAATGTGCAGTCGCCTCTTCACATTCTTCTTTCGTGTGAAAATTGTTTCGATTTTGGTCACAACCACCGTATATGAACTCCGTACAGGTGCCGACTCGGGTGTCGAATCCGTATCGTGTGTGCCGTGCTCTGCAAGGCCCAACAATCATCGGCAAGCGGCATAAATCGGAGGCAGCTGGAACATGACAGTTAAAGGCAGGTAGGCAGGAGCTCGCATATAAACGTGGACAAGGTTATACTATGTGGCTTTGAGTTCAGGAATTGTGATTAAGGAATACTTATCTTGTTTGAGGGGTCTGCTTGACCAAGGTGGGGGATGCGTATACGTGCTCTTCCCTGCCCTAGGCGGGTCAGTTGGAACATACGCATGTGGACATAGGGGATAGATGGGAATCCGGCGGGCGTTATCGGGAATGCGCGCCCATAACTAATGCCAAAATTCGGGCTGTGGTGTTAGGCCCACTACGAGCCAGTTGGGATTCCTGCCGCCGCCCACCCCCATATCTGTTGTCGTTTACAATTCTGGTCAAGTTTCCAACGTGGACCATGAGGTGTGGTGGTACGCCTAGATGTGGATCCGGCTGTGTCAGCCACCTACGCTCTCTCCCCCCTCCGGTGTTCTTGACTCTGTCTTGGCACCTGGCCCAGGTTGGTGAGGAGGAGAGAGTAAGATAAAATGGGTTTCTCATACTAGCTCTTCCCTGACGTAGGCGGATCAGTTGGAACATACGCAGGGATTGCGAGACGGACAGCAACTGCTCGCACCCACTAAGACGCCCAGTGACTTAGCGGTGAGCTGCAGCAAACACACAAACCAGATTCCTTATGGGCCTTGCTCTGAGCCGGAGGTGCGGCATAATTTTGTGCCGGAAGTCTTCTGGTCAGTGCTAGTTCTCAATGGGACCTAGTATACACCAACTGCCCTTCTGCCAAACTGAACGCCAAACCTACTCTCCATCCACTGACGACACTGAGGGCCGGCAAGGGTATAGTATGTAACCCCCTAGGGGCGACCGTAGTTAGCTACGAATCTAACGCCAACCATGGCCCTGCCCTCGGTGGGAAATCTCCGACCTGTAAGCACTTAAGGAAAAGTCGGCCGTCACCGTAGTCATAAGCCAACCCCTAAAACCCCAAGCCTAGCCTCCGTCCCAAATTCAAAGCATACACCAAGCCCGGAAACCCTATATCCAAGAATAACCCAACTGACACCAATTTCAACCGTTGTTTAAACCCTTACCTTGAGCCCTAAACGGGCAACTTTAATATCGACAACGCTTTTGGAGGTCGAAATCTGCTTCTCGCATAACCCCTTTCGCGACATACTGCCAGGCAACAATCACACAGGGGGGAGGGTGGACGGTTACATACCCCAGCCTTGCCTGAGGACGTCCCAAATACCTTGGAGGAACCAGTGTTCAGTCCATGCAAGGGGACTTTCTCAAGAACGGTCGAGCAGTTCCATGAAAAAGTAATGAGCATGCTTTGTAACTGAAGACAGTGTGCACGCATTCTGACTTCCTCTAGGAGTGACAGGGTTGTCGACAGAGATAAGAAGTGAGAAGCCTTCGATTGACTTACCTCTGGTTTTGCATACCGCGGTTGCGCTCTCACATTGTTCTTCCGTGCTAAAATCATTGCCGGTTCGACCGCAGAGGCCGACGGATAGTTGAATGCACTTGCCAATCAGAGAGTCGTATGTGTATCGTTTGTAGAATGCTCTGCAAGGCTTCTTCTCGAGGGGTGCATTGCATCTATCGAAGACAGCTGGAATGAAACGGCCAAAGACACAGGCCCTCGCATTAGTGAGACAACTGACGCAATTGAGGTTTTGCTAGATGGGTTTTAAAATCCGGAAATGGGCTTAGTGCAGAAATATCTAATCTGGGGGTATCTCCGCGGCGAAACGGGATATATGCATACCTACTCTTCTCCGAAGCATGCGGGAGGGACTGACTTATGTGCTCCCTAAAACGGGCCATGGAAATAGGAAGGTCCCGCCCAAATAATAAAGGCGAACCTGCCCATAATTCCGGGGGAGAGGGGCAAAATATTCCCGTGTGCTAATCTCAACAACAACCCCAATACAAAACTAAACTATTCCTCAGGCTAGCAAACGTAAGAGATCCGTGTCGGTAATCCGACGAAAGGAAACAGCTCACCCGATGGGGGGAACTTGTTTGGCTGACGTTCCGAAGAGCTTGGGTGGCTATCCATTATCAAATCTTCTAGTGCAAAAATCGATCAGAATTTTGAATGCACTCCGAATGTGTTGGCCTTTGGCTGATCGATTTTTTCATCTTTCGTTGCCTCGTCCTAGACGCAAACTCAGGTTGCGACTCACATTCGAGAAACGGGCCACAGTTTTGACTTTCAAAGAGCAGTCGTCTTAGGCCGGGGCACCTCAAGGACAGAACGTCTCACACTTGAGGCTTGGTACTCAGATGCCAACTCCATCAACAGGCATCTAGACCTCCCTGCGGCCTATAAGGTCGTACGTCATTATATACGCCATGACGGGGACAAGACGGTCATACGGAGCTGAAGAATGTCGAGCCAACACGGCCTGTGGACCAGTTCACCCAAACAGGAGACACAAACGCAACTAACCCCAGTTGAGGTGACGACACATAACACAGGAGGTCACCAACACTAACAAACGACGGCCAGTAGGCCAACACAGCGAAAGAAGAAGAAAAATCGATCAGCCCAAGGCCAACACATTCGGCTGTTTATTCAAAATTCTGATCGATTTTCGCACTAGACGTCTTGATAATGGAGAGCCGCCCAAGCTCTTCGAAACGTCAACCAAACAGTTTCCTCGATCCAGTGAGCAGTTCCCTTTCCTCAGATAAACTATTCCTCTGATTTCAGAGTTGTGAAAATCCTCATAGCTATATTCGGAAGGCAAAATGGCGAGCGAGCGTTGCTTCCGATAACTTCTTGTCAGGCCAGTACAGTTACATGGGACGGGGTACAGCGAGTGGAAAAATCGATAAAAGTTAGTTTTTAAAATATAGGCTAGGAAAGAGCGGAAGGGCGCAAAAAGTCGTATGTGGTTAGTCAACCTTTGACCACGGTAGGCGCGGAGACTGAACGAGGTCCTTCTGGGCACATAGGGTCGGTTTTCGTAACTTGATGGCGGCCGCTTCTCTTGTTACTAACAAACGTTGGCCCAGTAGCTTAGAGTGGTTCGAGGGGACCTCATAAATCAAACGAAATGCTTCAGCGGAGTCTACACGATGCCCTGAATTCACTGCATGCGCAAGGATGGCGCTGTCTACTCTCCTAGTTTCACCTTTTGCCAGCCATGTGGGAAGGTGCTCTCGTATTCTTTTGGAAAGACGCCGACTCGTACGACCAATATCACCTGCTCCACAGAAGCAAGTGAATGAGAAGATGCACATTGAGGCGGTCTGAGGTGCCAGCCTATCTTTGCCCTCTCCGCGTAAAATAGAGTTAGTAGAGAATGATATGCGAACCCTTGCTACTGGGAAGGTTCCCGAGACAGCTTGGTCAAGGCGTCTCTTTAGGAGTCCACTCGCAGCGTCTCCTTGGAAAGGGACTTTGAGGAACAGCGTTTTCTTTTCGGCGGTCAGTGTGGTGGGTTTTGCGGGTCGTTCGGCAAGGTTCTGTGCAATAAACCTGTCAGAATACCCGTTTTCGTGAAGCAAGTCCTGGATTTTTCTAAGTTCCTCCCCGATACTATCTGCTTAACAAATTTTTCTAGTTCCTTGTGCCAAACACCTGACTAGATGTCGTTTTTGTTGGAGAGATACGAAACTAGCGAAGTTCGTGTAATGTCCAGACCAGGTTTTCTTCCGATAGACGCTTTTTCGGATGCTACCGTCAGATCTCCTATTTAGAGGGATATCTAAGAAAGGAAGCGAACCGGCCGATTCCATCTCCAACGTGAATTTGATCGACGGATGTGTTCGGTTTACAGCAATCAGGAGGGCAGCAACGCCGGTTACTGTGGTTGCAATCGCAAAGATATCATCAACGTAGCGGCCGTAATGTTTAAGCTTTTCGATCTGATCGCTTAGTTGAAATCTCTCCAGCTTGCCTATGAGGACGTCGGCTAAGAGAGGTCCAAGAGGCGAGCCCATAGCAACGCCGTTTATTTGTCTATAGAGTTGGTTGTCAAAAAGAAACTGCACATTTAATGTGCACCTTAATAATAATTCCTTGAGTTTGTTCGTCGATATTCCTATTTCTTGCTGACTGGCAGATAGAAAATTACAGATGGAATCAACTGTCTCGGTGGCCGGGACGTTTATAAAAAGTGATGCAACGTCTATTAAGAACATCATCATGCCGTTAATGTTCAGGTCTTTAATGTCGTCAATGAAATGAAAGGTATCTCGATAGCTGCGTGGTGCCAGCTGAGGTTGTATGGCCTCGAGCTTCTCTGCTAATCACTTGGCTATCGCATGATACGGGGAGTTCCCTCGTAAAGATAGAGGAACTTTATCGTCATGTGTGTCAACGCACTGCCGTCCTAGATATCCCGACAGATGACGAAAGACGGAAATTCGACATATACACTTAGTTTATAGAAAGAAGACGTGGAGAGACAAAAAGTTCAGCGCTTCTTAGAGGCTTACGCGAGTTGAAACCCCAGTCACGGTTTACGAAAGATCCAGCTCGGTACGTACACAACCACTCTTATATGATATTTGACAAAACATCACTTGAAGTATTACCCCTTGGTCCTAAGTTTTGCAAAACTCGTCGAAAAGTTAATCAGTAAGAATTGGAAACTCAGTTCGAAAACTTCATCAACTGCTCTGGAGGAATAAAACAAGCAAGTTTGACTGTGTTTCTTGTAAAGCATTTATATATTTTGAAGATAGGTTGGCAAACATACGTTGCTTTTGATAAATTCACCTCAGGTCAATACAATTGTATGGGAACTAGGCACAGCCAAACATGTCAGTGTTTGGAATATATATCTATGTATATAGATAATTAAAAGTTTCCTTACCCTCTTCATCTCCACGCACAGGAACCAGCGTTATTAGTAGAACGATGAGCAGCATTCCTCTCTGCTTTCTCGTCTACTTGGCTGTGCTTTTTATACTGTTTCCTTGACAATATTTGACTGTTTTTGTTTTTATTTCTGCTTATGCAACTCCGACCTCCACGTCTTTCTGGCAGAACGCAAAAAAATATCTTGTTGGCGAGTCTCCGCATTTCAATGGCGCATCCGTTTGCGCCAAGAGGTTATGTTGACAATGCTTTTATTAATATCTTCCCAGAAAGATGCCATTGTTCTCGTTTCTGCCATGCTAGATTTCGTATTAGCAGCTTAAGGAGACGACGTTTGAAGCGCAATCCACACGGACCAATGGAATTTAGGGGTGTCCAGATAGGGAGTGGGGGTGGTAGGTCTCGTCCGGTTGGTGATGGGTGCACCCAACTTTCATCTGTGGCTGGTCGGAGCTCACATCAGCCTAGCGTCCACAGGCATGCGACCGTGAAACTAACATAAACGGAACAAGCTCCCCTTGCGGGAGGTGCAAAGTGCGTGGAGGTATCGCAAGGCCGAGAAAATCCGCGGGCATCAATGTAATGAAGCGTTTCTTCGCGTCTATCAGAACGGTCTGCGACCGCGCACCAAAGAATCCGCGTCGTTGGTTTTGGTAGTGAAAAAACGACTTTATTTAGTTCTTCTGTGCACAGGTCCGCGTAGCCTGATTGCAGCTGCCTCTACCATAGCCAACAAGCGCTCTCCAAATATTTTTTGATAGCTTGACGGGACCTTGTAAATCACTCTGAAGGCCTCTCTTGCATCTACGCGGTGGTCTGTGTCTAACATGTGCGCGAGGATCGAGCTGTTGGTGTTCTTTATTTGACCCTTTACTAACCATGCTGGAAGATGTTTTTTATTCTTTTAGATAAACGTCGGCTCGTGCGACAGATATATTCTGCCCCACAGGAGCAGGTCAGGGAGTAAATACACATAGATGTGGTCTGAGCTGGTAATATGTCCTTGCCCTTTCTGTATGGGATGGGACTGGTGGAGAACAGTACACGGGTGTCGGCTGCTGGAAAGGTCGGTGATACAGCTTGAGCTAAGCGTCTTCTTAGGAGCTCACTTAGTGCATCCCCTTGAGATGCGACCCTGATGAAGAGTCTTTTTCTTTGCTGCCGTCAGTACCGAGGGGTTTTGTGATCCTTTGACCATGTTCTTAGCAATGAATCGATCAAAACACCCGTTCTGGCGAAAAGGGCTTTCGATGATCTTCAGCTCTTTCTCAACGCTATCATCTGAGCAGATCCTCTTCACTCTTTCTGTCAAACAGCGGAGTAGATTATGTGTAACGCTTAGCTGTACGTAACTCCCAAAATCAGTTCTTCTACTCAGAAGCACATCCAGAAAGGGAAGTAAATCGATTGTATGGTAACTTGAGCGAATACGTAGTTGCCTTCTTTTATTGCTGATAGAGACGAAACAGGTAAGAACAATGAGAATTTGAAACTTCAGGCGAATAAACGTCTTGTTTCAGTGGTCGCGGCTTACTCTTCTAAACTTTCTATTCTTCTCTAAGAATGTGTGCAGATTTAATAACCAAGGGAAAAGGTGGTAATAATTTCATAGCTTGCGTTCGCTATTACAGTCAATGCAGTCCTGTGAAAATCCTGCTATTTGGCAGAATGGTAGTACTTCTCGACTCTGTCATGAGAGTGGTCCGGGTGAGGGAGAGGAGGATGCTACGCAAGTCTACTAATAATATAAACTAAATCACACCCATTCCAACGTCCCTATGGCTACCATGCTATGAATCACACGCTGAACAGCGTCCGTAATGAGGGTCTAGCTGACAGTTCATGGCGAACGACACGATCCCCTATTTCATACTTGCCCGCCCAATGGTACCACCAGCAGCCCCTTTCATTTTCCGTAGGCAATCGAAATACCTCACGAAACCTCAGCTACGTGCGTTTCCTACCCTTTACTAATTTTTTTCGGAACTTGTCCACCAGCCGCAACCGAAGGTAAATGGGCTCACGATCTGTCACACATCCCCTTCGACTGTGGTGGTGGGCTCACCGTCGTCAGTGAAAAAAAGGTGGTCATAAATCTCGTCATTGAAAGATTTGGCCGCCAATCACAATCGGTTGCCAGTGAACAGCTGTCAGGAGGAGGAGAAGAGGCTGAACAAGGCACGAGCGAGTGCATGACACTGTCTTACATCTTGCTTCACCGGCAACAGCCTTCGTGGCTGCTGTGCTGACCGCTACGTGCGCGGGCATCAGATATACCGTACAGGGGAATTCAAGTATTATTGTCTTATCGCAATGAATAATAATCAACTAAACCGTTAGCTGAACTAATTTGATGTAGAAAATCTACCTGCCTTCCGGAAGCTTATCTGTCCGTAGCAGGAACATATATAGATAGTCCAAAGGCCGGGCTTCACGGCTGGTCACAGACCTATTTCGCTACCTCCCAGGCCAAATGCTATTTCGCTCCGTCGTCCGTTTAGACTGTTCCCGACTCGCACTCTACCGCGAAACAGCACACATCACGTGCTTCGCTTTGTTCCTGACAATGGTTTCCGCTGTTCCTTGTTTTTAAAATAATGTTACACCGCGAGTGCCACTCTCACAAGACGACCCGCCAAGAAGCTCCCGCGTGACCTGATGTTTTGGCATTGCGCTCGCTCTACGGCGACGTCGGCAGTTGTTTTCGCTCCCATGTAGGTGCGCAGGACGTGACAGATGTGACTCAGTCGTACGGATCCTTCAAACCACATCTGTAGACGGAACCAAGGTCTGCCGTGTAATGCGGGCGTGTTTAAAACCAAAGGTACACACACTGCGACCAGCATGCTACGGGACACACGGTGGACACCGTCCGTAACGATTGTATAACTGACGGTTCACAGCAGACGACACGATCCCCTATTTCCTACTTGTCCCTCCAATGGTATCACCACCAGCAGCCCCTTTCATTTTCCGTAGGCAATCGAGATATCTCACGAAACCTCGGCCACGTGCATTTCCTGTCCATGAGATGCAACCGGACTCACGACCTTCCACATGCCCGCATCGGCTGTGTTGGTGGGCGTGCCATCGTCAACTAAAAAGAGGTCGCTAATCACAATACGCGATCAACAAGCAGTCCTCAGGAGAAAATGAGGCTGAAAAAGGCACGAGCGAGTACATGACCCTCTTTTACAACTTATTTCACCGGCAACGCCCTTCGTGGCCGCTGTGTTGACCGCTGCGTGTGCCCACATTATGCTCTCCTGGAGTTGTCAAGTCTACCCTGCAGAGGAATTCTGGTATTCCTGTCTCATCGAAATTAACGATGACCAACTTAACTGTTAGCTGGAAAGATTTTACGCAAAACTCTTCCTCGCTTCTGGACGCTTATCTGGCCGTGGCAGGGCAATATATACAGATGCTCCAAAGGTCCTGCTCCACCGCTGACCAGAGACCTACTTTGTTACCTCTAGGGCGAACTGCTACAGCAGGCTGGCTAACTCATGAAGTGTCAACCAACATCCCGATATGCGTTTTGGGTTCGAAAATATTAATCTCGCGTCGTCCGGCGGGGCCTCGTAGCTCAAGTGGTTAGAGCGTTGGCTGTTCAGTTCAGTTCAGTTCTGTTTATTGAGGGAAATGTAGGTCTTCACCTTTGAACTCCCTATTTGTTTACAAGCAACTGCAAACTCTCAAAAACTCGAAAAGGTATCATAAAGTAACAAATAATCGGAAAAGCGTCAGGTCTGTACAGACAAACAAACTGTCTCGAATTTTAGTGGTACGAGCAGTTGTAGAGCTGTCGTTTCGAGTGCAGCGAAATAAATAATATGTCCGGGGACAAAATTTGCATATGTGCATGTCAGTAAGCGTAGACGATGGGTTGGTACAATAATAAGTTCAATTTACAATGTTACTGAAATATAGCAAGTAGTATTATAATAGCGGAATTTGTCGAGGTTACAGAGATCGGGGTGGTAATTTAGTGCACACTGCTACACAAATCCAGTTTCCTCTTAAAGACCTCGACGGAAGCAGACATAACGACATCCACAGGCAGGGCATTCCAGGCTTCTACCACTCTGTTGGAGAAGAAGAACTTTCGTGTGTCCAGTCTGGCCCCTGTCACACGTAGTTTGAATGGATGGCCTCGTAGATTTGTG